CCAGAACTTGATAGAGGCACCTCATACATGAGTGCATAGATCATGGAGCCATCAGCTGGTACTGACCTTGAAGCTACATTCCCTCTGGCTAGCTGTATGGTTCTGGAAGATGCTATGCATGCTACCAGCAGAGAAAAGTAATCTCCAATCTTATCCTTCTTTGTGCCAATCCTTGACAAAGACAGGGGAAAAAATTTAGGAACCAGAGGTGGTGAATGACAACAGGGACATGGTGACTCTGTGTCAGGGTCACAGATGTCTACCAAGGTTACTAAGAAAAGCATGCTAATTCTTCACTTGCTAGTCTACTAACAATAGGTCTGTATCTTAAAGTTGTCATTGGGCACTGCGCCCTCCCTTGTCTGGTGATGGTTTCGCTCCCATGACCTTGGAAACTTGTGTTGCAATGGTAAATGGCTCAGCTCCATATCACTTCCTCTGGGAATGTGTTTTTGAACAATGAGAGAAATTTCTTTGTCACTTCAAGGCTCCTGGAGGAGAAGAGTTTTTAGATAGAAGAAAAAGCTAGAAGAAGCACAGTTCCATCATAAAAACAGTGACAATGATGACAAGAATGGGGGAAACACTCACCTGCTGATAGAGGGAATGTGAACTGGTACAGCCTCTGTGGAAAGCAGGGCAGAGTGTACATAAAGAGCCAGAAATAGAGTTATCATGTAACTCAGCCATACCAGTCCTGGGCATACACCCAAAGGACTCTATCCCCTAATACTTAGAAATTTGTACAGGATCATTCATTGCTGCTCTAATTACAACAACTAGAAGATGGAATCAACCTAGTTGCCCACCAAATTATGAATATGGATAGTGGAAGCATGGCATATATATATGCACAAATGGAATTCTGTGTAGTGCTAAAGAAAAGTGAATTACAGGGATACTATTGCAGTCCAGATACAGGAAAGAAGGCCTAGCCCCCCCCAACCCAAGAAAGTGACAGGCTTTGATGATCCCCCATGGAAGGCCTCACTATCCTCAGGGAGTGGATGGGGGTGAGTTGGGGGGTCGGTGGGGGGCATGGGAGAATGGGAGGGAGAGGGAACTTGGATTGATATGTAAAATAAGATTGTTTCTAAAATTAAAAAAATGGAAAAAAAAACACAAACTTGATTAGGACCCCCTCTGTTTAAAAATAAAGACTTGATTGATAAAATGTGAGAGAGGACGTGCATAACATGGTCGGCGAACTGATGAAAGACGACATACAGATTGTTGGTGTAAGATGGAGACATCCCACAGCGAAATGACGGTAACAGAAGCAGAACCAAAACCTGCTCATTACCAGACCACAACGAAGGACCTAACCAGTCCAACGGCAACTTCTGTGAAATGCTATTTAAGAAATGTACCTCTAGGTTGTTAATAAAACATTCTTTAACAGTGGGAAAAATCCAAAATTAACTAGAAACTAAAGACAATCCTGTTTGTCTACATTAGTGGAACTTTAATAGTATTGAAGGTAAAACCTCTTACCAAATGCCAAAATATGATAAATCCTGCCATCCTAGAAGGAGGTAATACCTTTAACTATGGATTTATATACTAGTGATTGTGCATGCTATCTGTTATTATTTTGTTTCTTCACAGCTCTCTGAAATTGTAGAATACAGTATACACATCACATACATTTCATCATATATATTCAATGCCTGTGAGAATGCACATATCTGTGAATTTGAAAAACATCAAAAGGAGAGCCCACAGTTTTGTGGTCAATATAGCAGTGTATCAATTATTGAATGAGTAAGGTAGAAACATCTGTAAAATCTAGAAAGTTTGAGCAGCATAACTGATAAGGTTAGCAATATTGCATCCAATACGGTTACAACTCTCAAATTGACATTTAAATTATAAAGTTCAAGTACACATGGAGTACTACGTGAGAGGACATGAAAAGTTTTAAAATATTCTAAAATTTGTCAATAGAAATATATTTCTATTTAACTCTCCTTTGTTTCCCACATCTTAAGACCCCAAACCAAAACCAAATAAAATATAACTGAGCAAAAGGAATAAATTTCATAATGACAGAAAGTTTCTCCTAGTGACTAATTACTATTTTACTGCCTTGTGTAAAAGGAAAAAAAAGAAAATGTTCAATATGCTTATTAAAAACAGGATGTATTTGAACAACCGTGTTTGTGATTCTTAGAAAATTTTTACTACACATGTCCGCTGGCTCTCATGCTGTGTAGTATTAGGATATTACTAGATAATACAGCTCCATTTGCAGATGTGTTTTTCACTCAATATTATTTCATGATAATTTATCCTGTCTCTGCCTTGTCCTTTACTCAGTCACACACCAGAGCCACTAGGTTTCAGCTAATTCTCCAGCCAAGATAACTAAACCCTTATAATTTTCTATTTATTCATACTTACACTTAGAAAGTTTATTTTGCAACCTTCTATACTCAAAATGCATTATTTCTTGCCTCAAGCCCCAGAGGTGGAGGAACAAAGATGTCTGCTATCTTCTTGGATGAAGGAGTGGAAACCAGCTGCAGGGTTTCACTGCTCTTAGTGCAGCTGGAACCATCCCTGCTCCCCAACCCTCCACTGGAAGAACCACTAGTGATTCCCTGTGTTCTTGTGGGGTTCAAAGAGCTATCTATTCCTTACAAAAGGGCAGGACTTACCTCCCTGGAAATTTCTCGGTAATATCCAGACTGTAGATCCTCAGCAAGGCAGGAAATGGGGTTTGTCTATCTTTTGCAGGAAGAAAAACCTCTCAAAAGGTACACACCAGGGTGTTGGAGTCTCATTAAATGCCAAGAAAACGTAGTATTTTCAAAACAACAGGGAAGACAAGGGAACAGGCTAAAGTAAATTCCTAATCTGAGCAGTGCTAGATGTCTTGGACCCCATGCTATCTCCTTGGGGAGAGTTGTGATGAAATAGGACTCCACCCAGCAGTGCTCTTAGCTTTCCATTTCCCCAGCTGGTGAAACAGAACATTTTATTTCTGTTATTAATGTAGTGTCAGGGGGGTGGGGTGGGGTGGGGTGGAAACCAACATAAAAACAGAGCTGCTCTTACTCCGTTTTTTGTCTTTTCTTTACAAATGTAAGTAGGCACGAATTTCAATGTTGAGCTTTTCATATCCCACAGACTGACACAAGGGTCTCTTACACTCATCTGAACGAAGATGAAATTACACAGGGATAAAAGTGTGTCACTCAGCCATCTCACCTTCCTTTCCTGTGCAGGAGGAAAGCAGTCAGAGGGAAACTTGTCAGATTCTCTTGTTCCTCATTTTTGGTTGTGTGTTTCCTGTAGAGGAAAAGATGAACCATGTGGCAGTTTGAATGTAATTGACCCCCACAATCTCACAGAGAATGACACTCCTTTAACATTCCTTAACTTCATTTCCTGCCAGAGGGCAGGGGAAGCCTCCATCAGCATAGAGCTCCAAAGGATAGAAATAAGAAAAGAGAAGAGAGAATACGGATCAGAATCACAAAGAAATGAACGAAAAGGTCCGAAGGAAACCATCAAAAGAGAGAGAGAGAGAGAGAGAGAGAGAGAGAGAGAGAGAGAGAGTGTGTGTGTGTGTGTGTGTGTGTGTGTGTGTGTGTGTGTGTTTTCCCCTAGTGTGCTGATTCCATTGGTTCCTTTAGAGTCTTGTGCTGCTGGAGGCTCGACACCCCCAGGAATTTTTAGGGGCAAATTTTTGTCTTAGGTGTACATTTGAAATCCCCAGCTCCACAGTCCAGGCAGATGGGAAAGGGGTACCCCAAACCAGGGAAAGAGGAAGAGGTCCCACCCTCTGCAGAATAGGTAGGTGGGTAAATAGACTGCTGTTGTTGATTGGTGGCACTTCTCTGGAGAAGGTGACAGGTGGAATATTCAAGCTGATTTCCTGAAGCTTCTAAGAACCTTTTTAAAGAGGCAAGTTGGATATGTTATCACTATTATTGTCTGTAGTCTGTATTGAAATCCTTGTGTAGAAAAAGGCAGTAGACTCATGTTTTTGAGTCATAGTAGAAGTTTGGAAACCTAAAGCATTGAAAGTATTAATTTTTTTTTTTGCTTTATCCAGAAGACTGGGTGTAGTTTTTAGCAAAATGAGAAACATTTTTTAAAAATTCTATATTTAGAAAACAACTTTTATTATTATGGTAATAATGTTAAGTGTTTTCCAGAGCAAGATATATAGTTTATCAGATATTTGTTGATTAGTGTCAAAACTCTGAACTTTTGCAGTCTCAATATAACAATAGCATAGAGAGGGGAAGAGATTTGAAACATTTTTTCATGTATCTTAAATCATTTTTATAATAAATTAAACTTTTGTGTTCTCATACCATATATATATAAATATATATATATATATGTATGTATATATTTATATATATATATATTGGTTTTTTTTGGAGACAGGGTTTCTCTGTATTGCTTTGGAGGCTGTCCTGGAACTTGCTCTAGAGACCAGGGTAGCCTTGAACTCACAGAGATCCACCTGCCTCTTCCTCCTGAGTACTGAGATTAAAGGTGTGCACCACCAACACCCTGCGTGCTTATATATTTTAAACACCGTTTTATAACTAAATGTATTTTTTGAATCCTTATAGCTTAAACTTTAAACTTTACATGTTTTTAAATCCAGTTATTTATCAGGTGATATATGTGGTTGATTATTGATTTAGTCATTTGAAAACAAGATTTTTTTTAAACAAAGGAACAGTAAAAAGTTACTTTGAAACCTGTTCAGTGAGATTATTTCTTATTTGGTAGCAACGAAAATTGTTTTTAGACTTGGCTTTAGCTTTAGAAAGCAAGGTCAATGATCTGGTATTTTTCTTATGAAGAAAACTGAGAAGGTAGCTGAAGCCTTGGGAAGATGTTTGTTATGCTTAAAGATACAGCCAGTTAATATCTTTAGAGATCTGAAAAGGAGAAACCATGACTGGAAATATAATCTAAATGGTTTATGTGTCAATTAAAAGGAAAGACACCCATTACCCAGACAGATTACCTTAGTCTCCGGTGGTCTCCATAGTTTTGTTGAGGCTGTGGTTGTAGGTCTTCAGCTGCCATACAGAGCAGCATAGGCCATTGGCTGTCAGATCCAGGTCTGAAATTTCTCTGTAAAAGAGCACCTTGGGGGACTGACCCTGCTGTGACCAGACAAAGCAGGACGATTGAGCCAAAAGTGTACATGGTTTAAACAGAGCCCTGGCAGCAAGCAAAATATGGGGCAGTTTTGTTAACTATGAGAAGCTTAAACATCTTAAATTCCAGGGGGCTAAGTAAGGAATAGATTCTATTAATATTCATCATGGCTATTACAAATAATGCTGCTATGAACATAGTTGAACAGATGTCCTTTTTGTATGAATGTGCTTCTTTTGGATATATTCCTACAAGTGGAATTGCTGGATTTTGTGGTAGGCTGATTCCCATTTTCCTGAGGAATTGCCATACTGATTTCCAAAGTGGCTGTATGAGTTTGCACTCCCACCAGCAGTGGAGGAGTGTTCCCCTTTCTCCACATCCTCTCCAGCATAAGTTATCATTGATGTTTTTGATTTTAGCCATTCTGACTGGAGTAAGATGATATCTCAGAGTTGTTTTGATTTGCATATCCCTGATGGCTAAGGATGTTGAGCACTTTCTTATGTGTCTTTCAACCATTTTAGATTCCTCTGTTGAGAATTCTCTATTTAGTTCTGTACCCCAATTTTTAATTAGATTATTAGGTGTTTTGGAAACTAGCTTCTTGAATTCTTTGTAAATTTTGGAGCTCGGCCCTCTTTCAGATATGGGGTTGGTGAATATCTTTTCCCAATCTGTGGGCTGCCGTTTTGTCTTGTTGACTGTGTCCTTTGCCTTACAGAAGCTTCTCAGTTTCAGGCGGTCCCATTTACTAATTGTTGATCTCAGTGTCTGTGGTACAGGTGTGATGTTCAGGAAGTGGTCTCCTGTACCAATTCGTTCAAGGGTACTTCCCACTTTCTCTTCTAAGAGGTTCAGTGTGGCTTCATTTATGTTGAGGTCTTTGATCATAATAGCCAGAACCTAGAAGAAACCTAGATGCTCCTCAACTGAAGAATGGATAGAGAAAATGTTGTCCATTTACACAATGGAAAATTTTACTCAGTAGAAAAAAAAAACAGTGGAATCTTGAAATTCAAAGGCAAATGGATGGAACTAGAAGAAACCATTCTGAGGGAGGTAACCCAGTCACAAAGAAACAAACATGGCATGCACTCACTCATATATGGATTTTACACATAGATCAAAGGATTACCAGTCTATAATCCACACCACCAGAGAAGCTAGGCAACAAGGAGGACTCTAAAAGAGACCTACATGGTCCCCAGAAGAAGAGAAAAGAGACAAGATCTCCTGAGCAAATTGGGAGCATGGGGGGAGGGGAGACGGAGCTATGAGAAGGGAAGAAGAGGATGGTTAAGGAGGACATAAGGGAGCAGGAAGGTTGTGTAGGGGGAAGAATAGAGGAGAGCAAAATAAGATACCATCAAAGAGGGAGCCAGTATAGGTTTAAAGTGAAATGAGGCACTAGGGAAATGTCCAGAGATCTACAAGGATGACACCAATTAACCGACTAAGCAACAGTGGAGTGGCTACCTTAAATGCCCTCCTCTGATAAAGAGATTGACGACTAACTTATATACCATGCTAGAGCCTTCATCCAGCAGCTGATGGAAGTAGAAGCAGATACCCACAACTAAAAACTGAACTGAACTGGAATCCAGTTGCAAAGAAGGAGGAGTGATAAGCAAAGGGGTCACTGGTGAAACCCACAGAAACAGCTGACCTGAACAAGAGGGAGCTCTTGGCCCCCAAGACTGATCACTGGGAAACCAACATGGAACCAATCCAGACCCCATAAATGTGGGTGTCAGTGAGGAGGCCTTGGAAATATATGGGGCCTCTTGTAGTAGATCAGTACTTATCCCTAGCATAGGAATGGACTTTGGGATCCTATTTTACGTAGAGGGATACTCCCTCAGCCTAGACACACGGGGGAGGGCCTAGGCCCTATCACAAAGGATATGACAGACTCTGAAGACAACCCCCATGGAAGGCCTCACTCTCCTTGGGGACCAGAAATGGTATTGGATAGGTAGGGTGTTAATGTGGGGCAGGGGAGGAGGGAGGGGAGAGGGAACGGGGATTGACATGTAAAACAATCTTGTTTTTAATTTAAACAAAAAATACTCATCATGACTACAAATATAGTTTTGATCACATTAAAGAATTTGCTGATTTATAAGTTGACTAACCATTAACTTATATTTTTAAATTATTCTTAACGGTTTAAACTAAGTTAGTAGATTTTGTAACACTAGCACTTTATGTTCCATCCCTGTTAGGTTTAGCCTTAAAAAAGTAATGATTATGAACTGAAGTTCTTTTAGTATGGAAATGAAACCTTTCAATCATAAATACAATGGACAATTCAGAGGTTTAGTCCATTATCATCATGGTGAGGACCATGGTGGCATGCAGGCAGATGTGGTACTGGAGCTGAGAGTCCTACATCTTGCAGTCAATAGGAAGTCATCTTAGACACTGGGCAGTTGTTACGATAAATCTTTCCTCCAAAGCCGTTGGAGCCCTATCGCCACGTGGGCGGTCTCCTCCAGCTGCCAGAGTTCTGCCCGCCTCGTGGATGGACAAAATAATACAGAGACATATTAGGTACAAAGCTGCTTGGCCAATGACTAGGATTCCCATCTGTTAGCTCAGTATTAATTATCATAAATTATATATTTTATAAGACTTATCTTATTGGACACCTTATTGGCGTCCCTCCTTGCCGGTGGATCACATTGTGCTGCTGGAGGAAGAGCGAAAAAGGGGGACATTTCCTGTTTTCTTTGCTTATATATGAGTCTCCTTGCTATGTCACTTCCTGCCTGGATTAGCACTTCTCTACTACAGGCAGTTCCCAAGCATAGGAAACTTCAAGGCCACCACCACAGTGACACACTTCCTCCATCAAGGGCACTCTAAGAAAGCCATACCTCCAGATAGGGCCACTTCTTATGAGATTATGGGGGCCAATTACATTCAACCTATCACAGAAATCTTACCATCTTCTGCTATCTTCATGTTCTTTCTTCAGTGCTTACATTTTTATCATATAAGTCTTTCACTTGCTTGGTTAGAGATACCCCAATATATTCTATATTATTTGAGACTTGTGAAAGTTAGTTTCCCTGATTTTCTGTTTAGTCCATTTGCATATAGGAAGGCTGCTGATTTTTCTGAGTTGATTTAACATCCTGATAATTTGCTGAATGTAATTATCAGCTGGAGGAGCCCCCCCCCACCCATGGCATTTTCAGGATCACTTATGTATACTATCAGATCATTCTCAAATAAAGATACTCTGACTTCTTCCTTTCCAATTTGTACCCCCTTGATCTTCTTCTGTTGTCGATTGCTCTAGCTAAGCCTTCAAGTACTATATGCAACTGGTATTGAGAGAGTGGACATGCATATCTTGTTCCTGATTTTAGTGGAATTGCTTTGAATTTCACTCCATTTAAGTTGATACTGGTGATGGAGTTGCTGTAAATCACCTTAATTATGATGAGCTATATCCCTTGTATTCTTAGTCTCCCTAGGACCTTTATTATGAAAGGGTATTGGATTTTGTCAAAGGTCTTTTCCGTATCTAATGAGATGATCATGTGGTTTTTGTCTTTCAGTATGTTTGAATGCTGAATTACATTGATAAATTTATGTATGTTAAATCATCCCGGAATCTTTGGCATGCAGCCTTCTTGATCATTGTGATATTGATGGGGGATGTCCTTCTGTATACTGTGAATATATATTTCTCTTATTGGTTTTGGCCAATGGACGGGCAGGATGTAGCCAGGTAAGAAATCCAAACAGAGATAGAGAAAGGTAGTAGGTGGAGTCAAGGAGATGCCATGTAACTGCCGAGAAAGCAAGAGACTCAGGCATCACAGTTAAGCCAAGACCAAGTAATCTGTGGAGATATACAGATTAATACAAATGGATTAATAATTAAAAGAGAGCTAGCCAATAAGAAGCCTGAGCCATAGTCCAAACAGTTTATAACTAATGTAAGTCTCTCTGTGTCTATTTGGGACTTAAAGGCTATATGACCAGGTAAGACAGAAACTTCCTTCCACATATCATGGTTAATATTTTTATGTGTGCTTGGATTAAGTTTGCATGTATTTTATTGAGAACTTTTGCAACTATAATCATCAGGGAAATTAATCTGAGTTTCTATTTCTATGTTAGGTCTTTATGTTCCTTCTGTTTCTATTTTGTGGAATAATTTGAGGAGTATTGGAATTAACTTGTCTATGAAAGCCTAGTAGAATGCTATTCTAAAATCACCTGTCCCTGGGCTTTTTTGGTTGGGAGAATGTCAATAACTTCCTCTGTTTCACTGAGGGTATAGATCTGTTTAAATTGCTTTTCTGATCTTTATTTAACTCTGGTAGATAATAATATATATTCCCTTTCTTTTAGATTTTTCCAATTTAGTGAAGTACAGGTTTTTTTTTTTAAAGTATGTCCTTTTGAACCTCTGTGTTTCCTCAGTATCTTGTTAAATCCCTCATTTTGTTTCTAATTTTGTTAATTTGTTTCAATTGCTTACAGTGTTTTAGAGTATGTGGCTAAAGCTTTATCAACCTTATTGATTTTCTCACAGAACCAATTCTTTTTTTCACTGATTTTTTGTAGTTTTGTTTCTTTGTTTCTATTTTATTGATTTCAGTCTTGAATTTTATTATTTTTGTTGTCTACTACTTTGAGGCATTATTCCTTCTATTGTTCTAGAGATTTCAAGTTTGTTCTGAAGTTATAAATATGAGATCTCTCCAATTTTTTTGTTGTAGACACTTTATTTTTTATTTTTTAGCTTATATATATGTATATATTTATATTTATATAAAAAGAGCAATAATGGCAATATGTTATGCATCAATAGTAGCAACAGCTTTTCTAGGTTCTGTAGTCCTTTGAACAAAATTGTAGAGACATCCAGCACACTCCATTTTTAAAAAAACAAAAACCAAACAAAAACAAACAAACAAACAAACAAACAACAACAAAAAAAATAAAAAGCAAAATCCCAGAAGACAGCACAGTTCTGTTA